GACTGTTCAAGCGCTCTTGGCCCAAGACAATTTCGAAGGCTCTGCTGATTTTGATCGTCTCCACTGCACTTGTATCTTATCAGCGTCTTGTCAGTGCTGTCAGGGGAGAGCGCTAACGGGCGCACCATGATCTCATCGTTCTCATTACTACCTCGATATCGCTGCTAACGGCCGTCAAGGCCATTTGCTATCCTTGAGTGGGCTTTTTAAAATGATTTCCGCTTGGTCTTGGAACGGGCAGCATAGCAAATTGTTCTGACAAATTATACGTTCTACAGGTTTTATCTGTTTGTCTCATTCGATCCATGTTCTTGCCGTTGCGCCCCCTGTTGTCGGAGCTGGCAAAAATTACTCGATAGACGCGTCCAAACGCCGATCGAACGCTGCTAGAAACATATCGCAAGGTTTTTAGCAGGGCCGATCCGAATCTCAGATTCGTATGGGACGCTTAGAAGAGCCACATCCAATTTCGTTAGATGTGGCTATTGAAAATAGACAAAGAAAACTATTGGTGTCCATATTCGTGCATTCTAATATATGCAGGTTTTGTACACCGTTTGACACAACACATCTGTTTGCTACATGATTAGGTATCCGGAGGACACGTAATTCATCTAAAACAGCTTAAGGACCGACTGTATCACGTCTTGATTTTCATGTACCCCAGTGCACGAAACTGCTATTATGTCTTTGGTAGCCATCTTCGCTGTCCATACGCGTAACTAACAATGCATGCGAAGTCTTCTAATGGGCCCTTGCTGGAGGAGTATTCGTCATATGCCCAAGCCGTATAGACATAGAGCTTCGCATCTTACAAGCACGCTTGTATTGTGTGACTCTGCATTTCTTTGCTCAAATCGCGGCCGTATATCACGAAAAAATCCACGGAAGCCATTGAACTCATTCGATTTGAAGCTCTAAAACTCGTGTCGCTTAAACTGTGAACTTGTTCGTTCGTAATTTATAGCGAAATGCTTAAACCCTTATTGCACGTACGTGCAAAGACAAACGTAGCCTAAAAATATTTCATCGTCAGCTAATCAGCCAGTATCATCACTTCAAGTAGGCTGAACGGAGCGCATTAGGCACAGCTTCAAGGAGGACAGATCATAACATCGACTTTATGCGGGTTTAGCACCGAATCATAGTTATTCGTAGAAACGTTTGTTGCTTCGGTAAGAGAAGCCGGCCTCTGCTGGAGCTAAGCGATATTTACGACGCTAACAAGGATGCAGAGTAATTGTGTAAAACAGATTTATATTAAGCTGTCATTTGTTGAGTTGAGGGACTTGCCACGTGCATCATGCTCGTGGGCGATAATCAAAAGGGCACCTCGAGCTTCTCTTGGTTTCTATTAGTAAATATGTCACCCTCTACGCTATAACATACGGCTATAATTAACTTGAAGACATAGATTAAGTGGTTATCAATAATATTAAGTTACCGTTTCACTATGCGCTCGTGCTTGCTGGCCTATGGCGACGTTAGAACTTTTCCTTCAGTAATGGAAGCCACCTGCTGGCACTCAGCGTTCAGTATTACTGCGACGGTAAAATCGACCATCCGATTAGCGTGGCAAAACCGCGGACGTATTCTATGCTAATGCGGTTCCGTTTATTACTCAGCGCGTTTCTAGTTTTCCACAAAGTAAAATTCGGTAAATTGACGTTTTCAGCAATTGCCCGATTGGCTAGGGGTGATCTCCTCTACCGCCACCCCTTTTCCCCCGAGGATTTAAAAATGCTTTATGTTGTACTAAAGCTTGCGGATATGTGCTAGTTAATAATTCTCACTGATTCAATCGACTAATTTATTTATCTCACTGGAAGACAGATAACACCTAGCTGCGTCCATCTCAACTACACAACATGCACAATTTTATACGTCATAAACTTCACTCCCGCTCCTGTACTGTCCGCAACTTACGGCCGTATCTAAATCTATCGACTGTCGTCCGAAATGTTACGGTCCTGCGCAAAGAAGGCCTCTATACGTTCCCCGTTTTGTTATTTCGTGAATGTGCCTTCGCACGAGCTGACCAACATAAATAATAGATCTTTTGGAAACACATCACATTCAACGTGACAGCGGCTTGTCAAAATATACACATTGCAGCGATGGCAAATGATTACAGGCTGGCTAGGTCGCATATCCGACAATAGGCACTTATCCTGTATCAAGTGAGAAAACACAGTAGCCAGTGAGAAGCAGTGCTTGTCCTGCAACTGTCTTTCTATATTTTTCAGGACGCTACCGCCGGCTTGGTGACTACGCTGCGCTCGGCCGCATTCATAGCTCTGTGTGTGTGTGTTAAGTGTCCCTCGAAGTCCGAAGTGAGCTGGCAATTGAAAAGAGTCCGTTGTATAACTGGTCTAAAGCCTCCTGACTGTAGATCAGGCAATACTGGCATCAATAATGCAAAAGACGATAGACTAAGCATTTATTCTGGCTACGGACAAACCTGCTTGATGAGTTACTGTGAGATCTTTACAGCAAGCGCTTGCTCTTGCGGGTAGCTAGTTGGCCGTTAGAGCGGAATTCTGCAATTTCACAAAACACAGCAGTAACTTACTACACGTCACCGTTAGTTGGAAAATAGTCTGCAGTCATCGAATTGTCTGAACGGTCCGCCAACGTCCTGGGGAGCTTTGCTGCGGCCAAATTTGGGAAGATGCTTTGTCTAAATATAAGGATAAATCTTTCTCCAGCTAGTGATCTGTATATCTGTGTTGGATAATTCACAATACGCTTTTGTTTATCCCAAGCAATCGAATACCAGTTAGTCCAAAAAATTGCCCCACTGTCACTTTCGCCACATCCGTAGTTGGCTTCAGTTCTTGAAGTTTGGTTGCCTTTGTAAGATTTCGATTGGGGTGTAATTTGCTCCTGTGACGTTTTGTGCCCTAATATTGTCGAAGACGCCCCCAGCTTTACGTAAATGTATCTAGAAAAGTAAAATAGAAATGAGCAAGCGTCGCAGTGTAAACGCGCCAATAATCTTAATGGATTGACTCGAATGGGTCGCTGGTGCAACCGCAAAGGTTAATGAAGGTCAATTACCTTAGCTAACTAATAACGCGAACACATACAGCTAGCTACCTTGGCCATATCGCTAAACAACGTAAAGCTATCTAGACCTCCCGCACATACGAAGGAGGAATACATCGAAAATTTACTGATCTATGTTGTGTATATATCACTACGTTAGTTCCGTACATGTGTCCATGTTTCGGAACCACCTTATTGTAAACCGTCGCCAAGTGTGGCGCACAAATGTAGCATGACTGTGGCCAATCGTGGTCAGAGTTTAACCTAACCTAGGTAGGCGAAAGGTTACAAGGCGGAAACCTATAACGAAAAAGTTGTTCATATCCGAAGGTGAGAATTTGAGAATGGACGCCAGAAGCAATATTCGTCTACGACGTATCTTGTTGTGTGCAGCTTAAATAATCATACATTTAGAAAAAATGGCATACTGCTAAACTTTTAAAGCGCTGGAGGATTCATCGATTGTTAGGGCAAGAGGTAGAGAGGTTGCGTGTTCCATGATAGTTATCAGGTTTGCCAAAATGATCCATTTCAAGTGTATCTTTGCAAATCAGCAGAACAGCTGTTCGCTATTGCTTGCTTCTACAAAGAACGAAGTACCTCTACAATGAACTCCACAAAGTAAAGGCTATAAAAGTGAGATCCGACTTAACCTTAATCAGCTCTTCCTTGTTATTCTAAACAATTTCCTAACGGTGGTCTTTGAACGCAAGTAGCACCGAACATTTTCAACGAACGGGAAAAAATTAATATCAAGTATGTGTCAAATTGTTGCGGTAAGCTATCAAGTCAAGAGGGTAGATCAGCAGAAAGACCGACGGTTCAATGCTGTAGCTATTAGCAACTACGGACCGAAACTGAAAGCAGGCTTCTGAAAAGCCTTGAGCCCAGTATAAAATCTCTGATGAAACATCGATCCACACCCACACTTTTTAAGCGTCCGTAGCGTCGCAAGTTTCCCAGGGACAAAAGGAACAAGGTGACAGTTTTCTAGGACCGTTTCTAATAACTCGCGCTTATCTTCAAACTAGAATTACTATCAAATAAAGGTCAGTGGACGAAGCAGTGTACCGTATTTTCTGTTGTTTATAATATAACTCAATTTTGCTCGTTGCTTTTTTCTGTCGTGTCATATTCCCATAGAAAAACCTTGAAGAGTCAACGATTGAGTCGTGTTTGAGAACGAAAACGTCTCCAACAATGGAGTAGCGGCCTATCCTTTTAAGCCTTAGCTTTCAAAGCAGTTTAGACCTGCTTGACTAAAAGCTTCTGGCGCTGGTTATCTTCGACAGCAGTCGAAATGGTAGATCGTTGTTCGATTGATGGCAATTTCATTCTTACGCAACAACTCAGCTACATGCCCTTATCTGCAAAGACGCCTCCATGCGCGTCGACGCCCCGTCAGATGCACGTTTTGATTGTCAACACAGTTTAGAGACAGTTTTAGCTTTACGTGCGCTTGTTCGACAAAGGCCACTCTAAAGAAGCAGTGACGATACCGTCTTGCCGTTTAATTTCATAATTACTAATACTACTTTATCTTTACGTTAGAATCGAAAGTTGAAAAAGCTAAGATTTTTAATTTTTTAAACATCGTCGACTTGGATACGTTCCATGCGAGTAAACAAATAGGGGAGAATATATTTGTAATAGTGGTTTGGTAGGCTAGAAATCACCACTTAGCAATAGATTCAACGGCATTAGAACTAACTATAAAGTCATGTTAAAGGTAAGTAAAGTAAAAGGATAATGTTCCTATTCCATATAGCTAAACAGCTATATGGCTAAAAAGAGATAGTTCGATACACAACGCCAATTTACATTTCAGTAACTTAAAAAACTTTTTTTTTTTTTCTTTTCTTTTCTACTACTGTATAATAAAAGATAATACTATTTTCAAGTAATCGCATCGTTAACTCAATGGTGTTTTCTCCTTCATTGTAAAACTTTAGGTGCACTCGTCGTATGACGGGGTCCTGCGGCTCAAACGAACATCTCCAAAAAGCGAAGCTGTTTACGCTTGCGAATTGACAACTTCACGTTTCCGTGTGGGAAGCGCCTCAGCTCCGTTAATGCTATACGGTAAGTTACATTCGCGTATTGTACACGTATCTATAGGCTTACCAACTGTTTCGAAAATGTATTAGCATAAAACAGCATGCACGATTTACTCTCGAGTTACTGATGAAGTGTCACGGAGCGGATCTTGCTTTCTTCGTTTTATCATCACATAACCCCACGGCTATTCGGTCATACAAGAACGATACCTTCAAAAATTGTTAGTCAATAATTTCTAGCTGCTGTGCTATGTCCAGCAATTTCGAGGGTTTGTCATTCGTTAGCGCTGAAATCCTCATCGGAGGACATCTCATACATAAACATGATATCCATTGTACATCAATATTATGGTCAACCGGCAAAAACGCAGAACATGGGACTCATAAGATAACATGAATACACTAGACGGGCCTCCGTCAAGTTGGTCGATCGTCGTCTCATAATTCTTTACTAGCAGTAGTAGTGGTGATTGAATAAACGTAACCGGTGAGCCTTTTGTCTTCTGGTGACGTTCCGATGTATGTATAGGTACGTGGTCGAACCAAATTATTTATTTGATGGTTAACCAATCGTGTCCCTTTCATTCGAATACAGTTTTCTATAATAGGATGGATTGCGCTTTTCTTTTCTCTTGTCGTGCCTACATGCAAATATACATGCGAGAACGTGCCTAACAAGTACACCATGGACAGCACGGGGTACGATGTTAGAAGTTAGCCAACGTTATCATAACCGGTGCACTACTCTGGTGACGACGACTACCCTTCAATCAATAGCTAATACGAGTCGAACAATAAATATTAGCCGCTAGTATTGGTGTGCGTAGTGATTAACATCGCGTTCTTTTTGAGAAATATTCTTAAATTAACAGGGTAAATGGTATACGTATGAATGTGGTGAATCAAGAACAAGCGAAAATACGCGCAAAGATATTGAGAGATTTTATACTCTAGACGTTTATTATAATATTACGCACTTTTATCACAACTAATGTGGCATGCTCGGTCTAAGCAAAGCGTAGCGCTATGGTGACCACTGAATGGAAAATGGCTTTGTGTATGAAAACGCTAGGAGAACACTCGGCCTTATTTAGGAATTGGCATAAGACTGTCACCCGCTTTTCAATGTAAATCTGGGAGTCTCATATTGAGTTATGAAGTTGTTCGTGTCACACGAGAAAGGTTTTTTACTATTCAGCATTTACTATTTCCAGTGCTTCCACGAGATGAGCCCCAGTTAATAGGCGTAAAAGCTCGTTATTATCGTGGCGAAGGCTTCAATGCAACCTGTGGACTTACAGCGAAACCGTTGCCCGATTTAATTTGGACCGTCAATGGACAACAGGTAATTACCTCGTTAAGCACCTAATTATCTAATAGATAATCAATCGTTAATTTCTCACGCTCGTTTCAGTGTTATTAAATGTTTTCAGTAGGAGTTAATGCTAGTTGAATATTAGAGATATATGGGGCAGTGTGTATTATAGTCTATTGATAATTATTTTCTATGTGACCATTTTCCACATTATGATATGTTCAATGCAGACCTTCGAGATCAGCTGCGATTTCTAGCCGAGAAAAGCGAGTACAGACCAATTTAAGCACAAACAAATGCAAACAAAAAGCAATTCTTCTTAGGCTTTAAGAGTTTGTAAGCTCTTAAACTCCACACTCTACGGACGTACTACTTTCGTTAAACTAGCAGCTATCCTGTTTTCCGTTTCAACGTAAATATCTACTATATGGGACAAAGTTGTGCCAAAAAATAAGAACAGATCGCTTCAATCGATTTCGTACGATCTCGCCAGGTATCGTCGAATGGATTAATACAGATCGCTTCGTTCGATGTTATATAATGGCACACAACTCATATATTAGACGGTACAACAAACGCCTGAATATTCGGTATTTTGCTTATGCCCTGCGCACACACCATGTACACACGTAGCGATTTGTTCTCGTTTAAATTACCTGGACGTTTTAGCTCGGCACTTTTGCTGAGGAAGTTTGATCAGCAAACAAGATCAGGATTTCGTCAGACGTCAGAGGGAAGGGATAGGCGCTGTCCGGGGCCTAGGAGGTCTTTTCAATTTTTGTCGTACTAGAAATTGCCCAGTCGCCCGTCTGCCAACACCATCGTAATACTTACGGCGACTTTATTTATGCTGCTTTTTCCGCCCGCTACTATTATTGCCGGATCACTGTAGAGGACGTGGAAATTGCAAGTAGTGTCTACATCTGTTCCGATATCTCCAGCCAAATTCGCACACTCCTGCGCCCCCTTTACCGGTCAAATTTTTCCTGGCTGCTTCTGAGACTTACGTTTTTGTGCTCGCGGCTGCTGCTACCCTCGAACGGTTAGGGCAGGGTCGTGCACATTGCCGTAACAACGATGGGACCATTTTCTTCGACCGACCGACCGTCGCAAATTGTCCTTTCTATCTCTCTCCCTCTCTCTTTCTCTCCGCTTGTATTCGTTCGCTTTCAGTGGCGGCAAGGCCGATTTCATCTCCTCTGGGTGCTCAGTCATGCCGCCTACTCGCTTTCCCAGGCCGCTCTTCTGCTCGATCTTCGTCGGCCGGTTTCGGCGATGAGCAACTTCCGTTGTTGTCGCAATGACTTTTCGCTACCATTACGAGCGACAAAAACTATCATCAGTGAGCTCTGCTATTCAGCCAGGCGTTTCAGCGTCCTGTTTTTCAGGTAGAAAGTGGCGCAAGGGACGGCAACGAAGAAGCGAGAGGCGAGCACAAAAAGTCTTGATTTGATAGTTGCCGAGAGTGCTTCAGAAACTGCTCACGATGGCAGCTTCCGGTACTTCCGCATCTAGCTTTGCCGCTATAGCCAGAATGTGTGTCTGATACGTCCGGCACCTTAGCTTGACTCAACTGAGGTTATAGAGGTGACGAAAAGTTTTCGGAAGAGCGATAGCCCGTCATTTTTCCTAATGGCCCCTGGCTGTATCTCGTAAAGTGGGTGAGTAGACCCGGGAGAAAGACAACTTTGAAAAATCGCGCTTATGGAATACTGCTGAAGAAAGATCAACTGAGGAAACCCTGGTGTATTTAGTTTCCGATAAGGCGATCATTTTCATCTAAGCTGATGCAGCTATTGAGGTGTTGTCAGATTTATTAGAAAGAGGAAAAATAGGCATAATAAGATTATTGCATTCGCTAGAATATCTCAACTTCGGTAAATTAATAGCAATGGGAGATTGTCACTGAACTGAAAGTAAAGAAGCTAGCTGGGGATTGGTACGGCATACATATAGATATTACTATAATCGGGTTCTAGCATTCCGGTTGTACTCTAGTTATTATCTTATAAGTCGATTTAAAATAAAATATATAAACGGACCAATGTCAGCCTTCTGTTGTAGTAGTACGTCACATTCAGCTTATTTCAACAAAATAACTAATTTTTCAATCCAAGTTTTCTGCCGATGACGGGTGCACAATAAATCCTTTATTTAGGTTAGTAAAGTATATAAGACAGTTGTTTTAATTATGACAGCTTCACAACGGACAGCATTCAAGCTTGCGGGATTACTCGAGGATCACTATAATGAACAGTTTAGAAACGTAAAACATGCACACCACTGTAACGTGAAATTACTAACCTTTTCCATAATAATCACACCAGAAAGAAGCACATATTGATTACATAGCATTATTTGATATATAATGGCAATCTGCCTGCCCGATCTGTTTACAGCCTCCAGTCAATGCCATTGTTACCGAACAGGCGGAGCAACATAACGGCTTGAGTACGGTATTCTCTCGGCTTACGTTCAATACGTCAACTCTTCCGGAGGACCTGCTGGAGCTAAAAGTGGCTTGCAGAGCCGACGTGCTTGACGTGTATCAGAGAACAGCTGAAAGAAGGGTCGTGTTCTTACACCATCTCTTGGCAGCAACCGCTACTAATGGTTCGTGACGACTATGATAAACTGACCAAGGCGGCGTTTGGCGCGCGGTTCCATACCTTTTCCTTCTCGCTTACTGTCCTATTTCCTCTTTTTTCTGTCTCGTCTTTTCTCGACAGTTTTATCAATAGTGTGCGCTTTAAGGAAGAATGTAGCTTGTTTCGGTGTTTCTGCGGCGCGCCTCGTGACAACTGTCATCAGAGAGTACGAATCGCTTAGCTGTTTTTGGTGGCCGGTTTCCTTCCTTTGTCGCGCTATTAGTTTAACTTTGGTCTTTCGTCGTCAAGCATGTCTTTGATGTAGTCTGTGGAACATCTGACCCCAACCCACCGCGCCAGTCGGCCCATTCCGCAGGACGCACATCGCTACCACACGTTTTCGACGGTTTTTGTTTTTTCTGTCCTTCGTTTGGCACTTTTCGATGTCTACTATGCCCACGATGGCTCGAATATGCTATCTTTTCTTGTATCCTAGCCGCTTGAATTGCGTTGGTCTACGGCATGCGCCAGCAGTGGTGCTTTTTGGGCCTGTTGGGCTCGAATCGGCCGGAAGAAAAATGAACTTAAATTGCACGGTAACGTAGCACATGACGATAACCCTTGAAGTTGGATTTCACACTAAGATTTTTCGAAATTACTTGTGGGTCGTAAAACAAATATTGGCTGGTTGAAAATCCAGTGAATTAATTGAGCCTCAGTTATTCACCCCACGGCATTTTATTGTGTATTACCCAAAGTAAGTTATGCGCCACGCTCCTATATACATTAACAAATTAACTTTTATTATGAAATTTAAATACCTGCATATTAATTAGTTAGTGCATGAATTAATTAGTTATTAGTTAATTGCATGTTAGCCGGCTCCTCTGCTAATAATTTATAATAAGCAACCTATTGAAGCTATTCTATTGAAATTCGTTCATGTTGGATTCATTGATTTTTGTTTAAATCGACCTTCTACTTCTCCATGCTCTTGTTGCTCGTGTTATTATATCGTGTACTCGCCGTTTTTTAAGTACGGTGCTTGCGCATCCTATAAACTCAATATACAATATTTTGTCAGTAGTAGAGGAAGCTTTATGAATTGCCAAGTTTTACCGACACTAACGTATTGGCGTTATTTATTTTGTTTGGTCTGATGGTAAACGGCTCTTCTCGTTTGTATTCGTCGCTCCCTTTCTAAATACTGTATGTAGGAATCGCCGACGGCTTGTCACCAGAAACGGAGACGGGGCCAGTTATCTACGGTGGCAGATCGCATTATCACATCGGTGACGTGTTGAATGTGACGTGCGTGTTCGCAGGCCCAGAAAGCGTTTCCCTACGATGGTTGCTCAATGAGCATCGCGTACCCAAACAAAGCCTGTTACATTTTCTCGAGGAGCAGACTAGCTCAGGAGTAGTCCGCACAGCGTTGGGGATTCGGTTTCGCGGCAAGTTTTTTTGTAACCCACTTGAGAATCGTTAGCATGTTTTTTCCGACCGTAAAAATAATCTTATCGAACGGACGATCGGAAGTACAACGAAACGCTTTGTCCTAAACTATGACGCACCATTAGTGAGTAACTGCAGGGTTAACGTAGAAGTGAAATGCCTGCATTGAATAACATCACATAATGCTTTTTATATAGACTCCTTAATGTAATTGCTAACATCGTGTCAACCGAATAGCGCGAAACTGCTGTTTCAAGATCTAACACAATTCTAGCAGTACTTCTTGCAATTTGTTGCCTGACCATCCATGTCGGATGCTTTTTTTATTTTTAAACTTTTTTATTTCGACCGATTTGTATACCTGCTAGAACAGGAATCGTCTGCCGTAAGTAAAATTCTAATTTTTGCTAGTCTTCGTTAGATCTAAGCATACCGTTTATTCTGAACGGGACCTTTCGATATATCTTGGCAGTAGTTTTTCCCCGTTCGAAATTGCCGGGATGCGCGCACGGCCTCTGTATAAAAAGATTCAAGCTTCACATCGTATTCGTTGACCATACGACGACTATACGTGTTATGACAAATTATTTAGCCAGCGTTGCATAAATAGGAGATAAAACGCATGCTCTTTTGGAGGGTGTATGTAAATTGTTTCTTTTGGCAACTGCACAAAGGTCAAAAACGAGGTAAAGTCTGCTCGTAAAGTCTTAGAGAAGTAAAATGCGGCCAAATCAGATTTTGATGAAGCAGACATGATACCGTAGAACGAGAGGTAGTCTTCCATCTTGCGAAGTCTAAAAAACTGTTCGAAAAGTCCTTGTAAAGAGGATAAACCTACAAGTATGACATCTTGGTATCTTTCTGTTAAGTTTGAATGCGGCAAATAATAAAGCAAGTATCTTCGATTCTTGTTCGTCATTCCGTAAAGATCCACTAACTGCGGACAGGGCGATAATGTACTGTCAAAAAACGACCCATGCGTTTCCAGAGAACTTTATATTGCATCTATTCATGTTAAAAAAGGAATTTGCCCAAGAACAGTGTATACGAAGAAATAAAAATCGAAATCAAGATCGTACTAGATGTCTCTCATGGTGCTTATAATGATGCAATAGTAACCTGTTTGTCTGTAGCCTGTAAATTTAGGGGTACGTGCGATAATTTAAGCTGCACGTAAACCAGACCAGCATACTGAATACTTACCAGCAATACGGGACATAGAACGATTTATTTAGCCAGACAAGTAAAGCGTAATATAAGTGTACTTTCAATAGAGATTAAATTTCAGCACGTCATAATAAGGACCCGAGTCTTTCTATTATGGTAAGAGTCCTAATTGCAAAGCTTTCTGCAACATCTGCGACAAATTATAACCAAACGTTAGACAACTATTCAAGCTAAGAAACCATTGTATGCGATATTTGACCGATGCCGTATTCTTCGATTTGCTCAGACTGTGTATGCGTAGAACGTTCACGCGCGACTATAAACTTCAGCCATTATTCTAGAATTCTAGAATTATTCTTTGTTCGCGGACAATGAAAAACTAGGCTGGTAATTTTAACAAACCGTAAAACTAACTTTTAATTAAGGGCGTTGGCGAGCGTTGAAAATCCTCTAATTATTTCCATATTTACACGGAACGATTCAGTTAAAAGAAATCGACCAACAAGGCCAAACCCATTCTAAGCACTTTTTTGGACACCAAATTTCAAGAGCCCTTACTAAAAGTCTGAATGGATCAAGGCAAGGTTTTATGCCAAGCATTTACATTATTCTGAAGTTTTTTAGGCACCGATATTGGTTCTTCCCTATGCCATGAGCGCTTGTATACGTCGCGTACATTTGCTACGAACCTTATGGCCAGAGCATTGTATTTCGTTACTATAGTATGATGTGGATATGGGTATAACTAGAGATACCTATTACTACTGACCAGATGTTCACGTAAAGCGCAATTGTAGTAAGCTTCTTTGAAATGAACTTTGGTCGTATCTTACTATCCACATGGCTGGCAATGTTCAGAATCTTTTTAGCTTTAATACATCTGCTTTTTCTTTCCCATCCAATTTTTCCGCCGATGTCCAGCTAAACTTCGATCGACTAAACCAACTTAAACATCGTCGAAGTTGTGAACCCTGTCCGCAAGTTCGACAGACGACGGAAATTCAACAGAAAAGACTGTCACTAATTTGGGCGGCCGAATCAATTGATTGCAATTCACTCTGATTCCGGCTCAAACAAAATAATATCACTGGATCTTGATTGCGAGCGGGCTTTGTCCTGTGTAGCCTTGATTGCTGGACCTAAGGTGGCTGCTCCTACCGCTGAAAGCGAAAATCTAAGCAACATAAAATACTTTGATGGGAGCCAACAGTTGGAAAACAATCTGAACTCTTCGGGCACCAACTGACCAATAACTTATAGTGTTGACGATGTGGAATTTCAGAGTAGCGTGGCGTTTTCCCTATAGATCGTACGTGCTCTCACAACAATTTATCAATAATGATTATGATGACTGACGTATTCCTCCATTACATTGTTCCTGTCGAATTAACTACACTAAAATACATAATACATAATTAAACCTCCTACAGAAAAAAACAAGAACAAAACTAACGTTACTGGCATCTATCTGCCAATATTAGAGCCATCTACTAAAGCGTAACCTCGGCGACGTGGTTTGGGCGGCTAAAAGTTCTGGCTGAAGAAGCCAAGGATTTCTGGTTAAGGTCCCGCCAACGAGAAATAGTGTATGACAAGCATGATTAAATAAAGGAAGACAAACGCATTATTCGTATACTAGAATGTCCATATTCCAGTTCATGCTGTGTCTGACATGGCACTGTTCACAGGTTCCAGCCGAAATACAAAACGACAATAAAGAGACGTCAATGCCAATCACAAGAAACACTCAAGTTTTCATGCAAGGTGCCTGCTATCTACTGGCACACTGTAGAAATCAGTTTCAAAGCCGGACAGCGGGCTAGGCAGCAGAAAAAGAGGTAATCGATTTCTCGCCGTATAAGAAAACTAACATTACTTTGCCCTGCCACAACATGCCACCCCCATACCCCGTTCAAATCGGGGTGTCCTTATCAATTGAGTGAGTTAGTTAGCTTGGTAGGGCGACCGCTCCGTTCGTCGTCCTCTGTTTCTGCCACCATTCGCTTGCTCATACACAACGTGGAAGAAGTTTCCTATGTGTGCAGTGGTTTCACTGTAGCAGTAGTACAAAGGACGAAATGCTGTGAGAGTACAAAAGAGGGAACCTGCTCTTTCGTTGCGGTGGTGTCGACAGCAGAAGCAAAACCAGCTTGGTGTCTTTCTCCCTTGTCTGGCTAGAAATGCATCAACTTTAAATGGGAAGAAACAAGTTTCACGTCGAATTGGGCGCCTCTCACGTATCCGACTAGTTAATCGGGTTGTTACAACGACTAACCGACGCTAAAGTAACCTTCAGCTGCTGGAAAGTTTCAACGGCTCACAGCTGAAGAAAGGATAGTCGTTGTAATAATACGCCGATACTATTCCAATAGCTGAACAGCTGACGGAGAGCAAGCTACTCTTTCGACAACACCAACAACTTACGACGGCTCATAGAAGAACAAAGAAGGTCAAGAACTTTCTCCTATTTACCAGTCCACTAAACACGAACTCCATGCTACTATTCGAAACGTTTACGTTTTCACTCAACCAGAGTTAAACCGGCATTTTGGCATTGTGTTTTACTGGGTTAATCGAGGCGTCGCTGCTGGAGCCTCTCGATGGACTACAACACGGGTCTGTTTTTCTAGGACGACGTGGCTGTCGTAGCCAACTCCTTCGAGCTGCTTAGTTAGTTCGGGGAAAAACCTTCAACCTGTTACACCTTTCCAGATTTTGGACCTCGATGCCGTCGTCAGTATTGCCATCACGATTTCGCAAAGCGGCCACTACTTTTAAAAGTAGTTCGCTTCCATAGATACTCGTTGAATTTTCCTTTTTTACGTATTCTGGGATGACATCTCCTTTATCTCAATTTAAGCCTCAGTCCACAGGTAACAGGTTAGGCACAATTGAAACACGAAGTAGAAGGAACACGAGGGAATTTTTTGACCACCGGACATCGGGCACCATTTTTCAATCGCTGTCCCTGCTTAAACCGGTGTACTGGTCCTGCCGCTGTTTATCCACCCCGTCTGTCCTTCACGTTCGTTTGGAATGGCGTTGTAACCAAAGAAGCGGTCGACAACGGCAGGCCACAAAATCGATGCAGTACGTTTATATGTTTTTAAGTGCTGTGCTTAATATATCCTTTCTCTGACGGTCTTTCTCGATTTATTGTGTGCTTTTGTGGGCAGCATTGATGCAGCTATTGGTGGTCTTTTGTAGTGCTAAGAACAAGGCAAGGCCGACGGAAAGCGGCAGCGGCAGCATTCGACTGAGGGAGGCTGCAGGAATGCCTCAAGGGGACCATCCTCGGATGACAAAATGGACACATCATCTGAAAAGCAATGTCATGTTCGATTAATCTTCCACCTGCGTTTTTCAAAAGCAGCGACCATAGACTACCACCACTGCTCGTTCTCCTTTTTTTCCTTAGTTTTCTACTTATAGATTACTATAGCGAAATTAATGAGATGTGGATGTATGCTGAGGTTATGGGTTGACACGCATCTAATTAGCGTGTCTGCTAATAATCATATTAATTCGAAGACTGTCAGCAGACACTTGCGAACCGTGAGGGTACTGCTGTGTACAGGATGTGGTCGTAAGCTGCCGTGTCGTAACCGTGTGTGTGCATGCACGCGCGCATGTGCATGGCGTGTTAGCTATGACGAAGAAAAGCGTTTCATCAGACCAGCTTGACCTGTTCAGGCTAACACAAGTTGACAACATTGGCGTCACTTTGCTTCAAAAACCACTCCATGCTACTGTAATCCCATCGACACTTCAGCGAGAAAGACCTTGCTTGTATCAAGCTCATTACCGCCCCGTCTATTGCTTTCCATAAAATACCAAACATGTAAATAAAACAAAATACACGTATCTACAATCCTGGATACAATCAATCTAGGGTCGAAAAGATAATGTTCACCGTTTGTGCCAATTCGGGTAGATGTAACTTATTCGATTTTATCTGCTGAAAATCTGGGATTTCTCCGACAGAATAGGCCATATCGGGTACTTTTAGTCAGCTGTTACACTTTTTTGGGTTAACTAATACGATATTCCCACATGCACATACACGTATATATATACATAGTATAGAAATGATTGGGCCACTCTGTCAAGTTTCGTTGCAATCTGCGGATAAGTTGAAGCAAATTTGGCCAGCTCCCTGTAGTTCAATTATTTTCCATTGTTACATATACAGTGTTGAGCCAACGATGTAAAAACATAGGTATGTATTGCTGCAAAATAGCGGGATCGTAGAACCTTTTTTCAGACGATAATGGTTTTACTTTAAAAAGTCAGCTTTTTTAGTTGAATAAGTTCGCTGCCATAGCAGTTCACTAGATCCGTATGTCAAGGCTGTCATGACATTTACAGGTTGCAATATTGGCGCAATTTAGCACATAATATAGATTAAAATTTCTCGTAATAGACCTTATGGTCAATAAGCCACATCCGAGGTTCTGAAATTTGAGTGGACCTAAATCATTTCTAGGAAAAAATGATAATTAAAAAAAAGTTCATTCAGTCCAGTTGCTGCATATGAAGTTATCAAGACACGGCTGAGAGCAAAATGTAGAGATACCGACTTTCGAGTTAATAGAGTTAGTACTAATACCAAACGTTAACCGAAACTATGACAAGCGCGTAATGACAATTTATTTATAAATTGTTACCATCTATTTAAATCAGGATTCATGTGGCAAAATATAAGAAGAAGGTCTTTAGCTTACATGTACAGTTGTCATTCCCGTTATTTTTCTGCCAGCCTGATCGGGTTCTGCATATTATCCGATTTGTGTTATAGAGCTGAACTCGAAGTATTGGGTCTGGAACTCGTTTATTTTCTTAACGTTAAGTGTTTGGCGATAAAGGTCTCGGATGGAGACAGTCGCGTCACTTCTCTGTACGCACGTGCACGTGTAAAAGTTCGTATTCTAATTCAGTCACAGATGAAAGATTCATGTCTCCTAAGTTGGGGGGCAAGTACGAAACTAAGTAGAAACAAGCTAATATCGGAAAATGGAGCCTGGATAATTCGGCTCACGGCGTGATAGGGTCACGTATTAGGCTGTTCCATATGACCCTGTCGTGTTCGACGAACAGAAACAAGCCTGAACGAGCTAACTACGTGAATATCACGCATAGCGCGGATGTAGCCTCATACAGCGTCAACAGAAGAATCCATTACACTAGGCCTATACTGCTCATGTCGACACCCCTTGCTAAGCAAAAAGCTTTTTTTGTCTGCCATTTCATAAGACATATTGCAGCCAGTCGGTAGTCGCTTTATGAAGACGATCTGCGAAACATCGCTTCAAATCCTATACAGAGTATAACCTAGATTCATCCGATAGGCGTTTTGCCATCGAATAACTTACAATGGTAATACACAAAAATACAAAAGAATAAATTAAATAAACTTAATCTTCTCATCTTTAAAAGTAACTTATATTTTTAGTACGTAATGTTTACTTTACTCTCAATTACTACATATAACTAATGTTTTAAATAATCTACAATATTCTTTCTGTTTGCAGTGAAGTCCAGCCACTTTGACAAGGGTCGCCTCACCATCCGCTGCGAGGCAATGGTTGGCAATGGGCTATCAGCTGCTATCCGTCAAACAACGACTGTCAACAGAACTAAACCGTCACCCCCAACAACGGCGACGCCGTACTCACCGTTTTTAAACTCATTGTTCTAACAATTAACTCGATCAGTGCTCGATTGACGTTTATTTTCTTGAGAAATAAAGAGCCGTTAATTCATCTTCATCTTGTGTAGCCGCCATATACGGTCCCATGTACTATATCATTGTATAACAACTACAATTAGTAAAATGCATTGCCGATCTATTCTGTTGTTATTCTAGCCGCAACGTTGTCTTTTCTTTATATTTCATTGATATTATTAAAAATATATAGCTTGCCTCTCATCTACATATAGATACATATATAAATTAGTATTAAACATATATATTGTGTATTTCATATATATACGGATATGCACTTGGACCTTACACTGCACATTCGAATTATAGCTTCAGAATTTGTGGGATTCTCGTAATTGGACTGATCGGAGCTGTAGTGAGAAGGATTGTCGAGCACAGAGGTTCTAACAAAGCACCTGTTAGAAGATGGCCGTCGAAAAGGCTTAACCGTAGCTTCACTGTCAGCACTCGGATGCTATGCTCGGATGCTTGTGTTATATTTTCACCCTTATTATCTTTCTCATATAGAGAGAGACAAAGAGAGGCAGGGATCTGTTGACAGCCAGCACCAGCTAAAGCTCAATCGTGTCCAGAGGTTTTCTCACAGTTTTCAACGTTAGCCGTCGACGGCACGACCGCTTCAAATCCAATCTAAAGTTACTTTTGCCGATCCCCCCGTTGCTTCGCGTGCTTGCCAACTCTGCCCCGCCTTGCTCTAGTGTATCTTCAAAGAAAAATGCGATCTCTTTCCTGCTTCCTGTGCGCCGGTAACGCAGCCCGTCGTGGATTCTGAATGGTACAGGACAAATGGGTCGGCCTCAGGATACACCGGTTGAGCGCTCGACTTTACTTCTGGTATCAGCCTTTTCTCCGTCTGCTATCATGATGCTAGGCCCTAAGCCTGATTTGTACAGCGTCAGCAGCAGCACCAACCACAGGGTCGTATACACTGCGGGGAACAGGCTCCGTAGGATCTCACTGCTAAAGCACTGAAAAGGGTAGCCAATATCTTCTAATTAGCTCAACGCCCCATGAACGAAATGCCAAGCAAACTAGAAAAAGCAGACATCTTCATGCATTGCGTCCCTATCATCACCTGAATATCTCTACCTCTTCCGTTTGTTTTAGTCCACCAACTGAGTTTCTAGACCACCAGTGGCAATCGAAAAAGCCAGTAGTACGATAGTTCAGCGCAGAGACGCAGAGACACATATTTCAGATTAGAAAAAAAAAAAAAAAAGATGGAGTGCAAAAAGATGTTCAAGATGGTTCCTTCAATTTAATCAGCTAGCGGAATTGATTTTGTCGAGATCTGTAGTTAATATGAACGCCCGCTGGTGTCGGTCTGCGACAATTCCGTTGTCAGATAGGCGCTAACAGCTACTTCTTCACGTACACGACGAAATGGCATTATTGGTTTCGCAACAGACAGTGGCATCGCCATTGCTGGCTTCGAAACACTCGAAACAAAGTTGCTTTGCATAGTATCTAGCGTAACAATTTCCTTTGTGTAGGATCAACTTAATGTTAATTATATGAACACATACAAATATATATTTAGACTGAATCTCGACAGATTGCGGGTAGCTACGCTACCAGTGCGACTATTACGACTACGAAGGTAAGTTATTACTACCATGACGTATGGTCTATGATGGGAAGGGTTTATTCGGGTCATGGCAATACTGTGAACTTACATTGGATGCCCGCAAACTGCGACTGCAGATTTTCGAAGGCAATCATCGTCAATTGCACGATTCAGCAGGTAGTCAAAGCCAATAGAATGACTTTTAAATTAAAAAAAAAAAAGATCTACTAATCCAAAATATAATTAAATATACTTTCTATTTTCTCGTTGCTGTTTACATTTATCTACTAAATACTTCGCGATATAACTCCTATGACTTTGAACTCTCTATACTTATGAAACAGTTCCCTAATATACCTTAAATTTGAGCATTGCAATGTTGTTCATAATTTGCGTTTTTCTATAAAAAGTCTACTGATCTATTTATCTAAACGATAGGTAGTCTAAGACAAGCTCGGTAGTATAAATTCGTATAAATTTCGGTACTCCTGCGCCGTATCAGGCCCGTTAGCCTGCCATCCGCTGCCATCACTTTGATCAATGTCACAGTGATTTATCAATTTAATTTAACCCAAATGGACCTTTGACTAAGCAGTCTTCTACGTCGACCTGACACCTCGTGTGCGTGTTCGCCCGCTTTTCTGCGTGAACGCAAGTATATATTTACCACGCTACTGCTATGATGTAGTGGTCAGCTTGTTTTATTAACCAATACTATCCAATTTAAACCTTAATCATCAACAGCAGCGTCTTATGTTCATCATCTTATGTTCTCCGCAGTATAGCCTAACCGGCCTCGAGTTCAAGTCCGCCATCGTCGAGCGGTTGCAACACCAGCTTCCCTCAGATACGAAACACGTATTAAGCAAATGACATACCTAGTCTATGATACGCCATTTTTCGTTCTCAGTGAGAGCTAGGCTGAAAATGCGCTCGGTCGCTTTGCCTTCCTAACGTCGATTTGAAGTACGGGTCGTCCGTGACAGGCAACAGTGGACGTTTAGTGATCGACATTGATTGGTCAATTCGTGGCTGTATCGGTCGCCGTAAAACTTGTATTTGCTGTCACTGATGGCGGAACCGGATTCCAGCATCAGACGGAGGCAACCTAGTCGGCACTGCCAAAGAGTGAACAGAACCCGACAGCCGCACGAGCTCCTGGCGGAGATCCATTATTGCGTAGGTATGTCGATTCAACATACAAACATCGGTGCAGAGCGTTTGTATGATCGATAGGAAGGTCCTCATGGCCAACGAGTAAAGCGACAGATCTATTCGTCCAGCTGTTGCAGCTGTACAGTGTGGATCCTTCTGGGGCATCTCGAGAGGGTACAGCACACGGTGACCTGAAGATATATTTCTGCAACAGGCAAATGTCTAGACGGATGTAAGCGGGTTGATGTGAAGCTTGTGGTACACAAAGGACAGGCATTGTCCCGACATGCTGAGATACACTCATGGAGGTTGAACCCAAATCGAGCACACGTTTTTCATATGGAATTAAATTTATATTCAGAAATTCGGTTTGGGACACTGTACTTGATAATCGTAACCTATGTTGTGTTTGTTAGTACATACATTTTTGAATAGACTTATAGGGTCGAGAGAACGGAGACTGTAATAAAGAAAAAATATATGGTATATATTTCGCTATGTCGTTCTACTAAGCTGGACGACTTGTGAATTTTGCGGTAAATGCGTTGGTTTCGTGCTGGAGTTCAGCGGCCCGACGCAATGCTGACGCAGTTCGGAATCCAAAACTTTAAAGACCTTTTCAAACCACTTAGTGAATGCATTTATTTTCACTGTTCATGCAGCCGAACCATATTCGACCCATGGCCGATTTAAGTTATCCTTATGATGTTAATTTCAGACTACTATCTTCAGCGCACTTCTGTCTACGCAGCCGGCTTCAGATGTGGTTGTGATTCCATATAATAATCCCATGAAGTTACACTTACCGCTCTCCAGAGACTGAGATAATTTTGACAAAAGTATCGTCCCTATGGAGTGCATACGGAACGCTATCCGCCTTCCCCGATTGCTTCTGCGTAAGCAGGTCACCGAAGCGGCTAGATTTAGGAGTCTCACTTTTTCGCAAGTGCTCCCAGAGGCCCACTCACAGACTACGTTAAGGATAAATCGACAGAGAGGAGAGCAGAAGAGCACCACAAGGATAGATAAACTAGTTGGAGGAGGCCTAAAAAGAGTTATTAGCCTTGTACAACTTTTAACGTAGCCATCGCGTCGGTAAGGACGGGCCGTCAGTGATCGAAACTGATCTTCAATGGCCTTGCAGAATGGTTGGCACTATTTCACCGACGGAATGGCGCACAGGCGGCAGAAAGCGATTCCGATCCTATGACGTTTGCATTGCAGTCATTACGTTGATCCTCCAAAGATTTCATCTCATTCCTAACACTGGCACACAAAAACAATTAAGTGACAAAGCTAGTATAGTTTCCGTCTATGATTTAAGAAATTCCAACCATGAAAGGAACGTATGCCGTTTGGCGTGACAGATATACATATATATATATATATATATATGTGTATATATATATATATATATATCGCGCTGATTCCCGCGGTACTTATCATAAATGTCACCAACATTGCGTCGTGTAGCTCCGAAAACGGCAAAATGGGAACGAACCATAGCTAAAAAAAGAACAAGGTTACTTATACTACAATATCATGCCACGCTCGCCATCGGTGTAGACAACGCTCTCTAGAACAGTTCCAGCGCTCATCATCAGTAAATTGACAAATTCCTTGGAGACATCACGTAAGTTGTGCAGTATTCATCGCATTTGGTCTGCATAAAACTTATAATCACACAAAATATACTGCCAACGATCCACCTAGCCATCTTAACTTCGTTAATAACAAGCGTGTAAATAAATGTGAATTATATATGTATATGTATAAATCGGCGACGTCGGTATGATGTAATGGCTTGCGCTACGCGAGATTTACTTCGTACGTTTCGAGCAGAGGTAATGTATCCTTCCTGGAACGTATGTTACCATTTCCAACGGTAGGCATCCGTTTAGAGCCGAAATTACCCTAAACAGCGCTATCTGCCCCAGTAGTGTTGTGAAAGCGAACTTACCTTTTTTTTTTACGATACTGATGTGTCTAATAACTTTTCTACATTAAATACATCAATGGCATTAGGTTGTCGATAGCAGTTAACTCGAAACAGTTCTCAATAACTTCGACGGAAACACTTAGCTAAAAATAGCTGATAGTTAATTGGACCTGGACCGACTAGGCAGTGCCATAAAGTGTAAGAGCCACTGCTTTGTCCGTAGTAAGCAACAACTGCCCGAACAATTATTTGGACAAAGTTTAATTAAGTTCTAATTAATTTTTGTAATGGCAGGAATTTTCTTATACCAGTAAACGTGCAAAGCGTAACAAGAGTGAAACTTAGAGACGAAGATAACGGCTATGATAGCATAGATCCGAGCAGTTCTACATCTGTATCCGATTGAGCGCACTGATTTGCTGGTTAGTTTAGGTGAAAAGGACGCATATGTT